TTCCCCTTTAATATCTCTCCCCAAAACCCCAGCTGAAGCCTGCAAGCTTATCACTTACTTTGCTATGTGCACAAATGGCCGATCCTAAAAGTTTCCATGTGCCGCCCCGCCTATCCATTCGGAGCATCCGTAGGATCTGAAGGAAGCGGAGGCTTCTGAGTGATGTGGCCAGAACATTGCCCTGGTTCCCAACCGCAACCACTGGCACTGAAGCGATCAGCACAAAGATATCTGCAAGGCAAAAAGAACAAAGCCTGCCAACAGAAGTGGCCCCATCACCTGCTTCTTAATCCCATCTGGTTGTGCTGCAGATTTCCCTAGGCAAATTTTAAAGCTGCCTGAAAATGCTTTCTCTTGCCAATTAAACAGATATCTGCACCTGCCACACAGTCGGCATCGTGCACAGAACCCTCCAGAAAGCCTTGTAATCTGTTTACAGATCCGTGCACTGGACTTGAGACACTGTCTCAGCTAGTTTAGGGATGCTGCCAAAAAACAGTGTCCTAATGCTGACAGAAAAACAGCCTTAGATTCATCTGTCCCACAGGAACACCACAGTGAACAGGTCAGCAGATGAGAAATTCGTGTTTTGATAGTGCATCTTTGTTCTTTTGGCTGAGATCTCCCATTAAAATCTCAAAGCCAGTACTACTATTCTTTGTAAGGCTCATAGGGCCAATTTGCTGATCAACTGAAGAGGTTTGAAATGCAAATCACATTGCTTCTTGGTTTATTTCTTTTCCTTTCTTTTCCTCGTTTGCCGCCTTCTTTTTGATCCTGTACATATGCAAGAAAAAGTGGTACCAAAAGGCTTCAAACCTTCTCTGGGCACTCAGTCTTTAAATATTCCTCACATTCTATTTTCAGCCAAAAAGAGAGGCACCGGATGGATTTCAGATTTATTCACTTTCAGTCATTCTCAAAACAAACTTGTGCCAATTAACAACCAAGACATGATATTAATAAATCCAGGATCTTTTCTGTTTTCAGCTCAGATATCAATGAAGATTCATTCTCAGAAGTGAGATGACACTTTTACCAAGAAGGCATGAGACAGTATCAATCGCACTTGCTAACACCACACTCTATTGCCTTCACAATGCTAATAGAAGTATAAGAAGTATTTATACAACAGTAGCACCCAAAGAAGCATCTCTAAATTGAAGACAGCACAGATGCACAAGGAAAATTTGTTCCAATTTTGTCTACCATTTAGACCCATAAGATGAACAAAAGGAGGGAGAGGGAAGAGAGTGACAAGTATTCCTATGGCTCCCCAGAGTGCTATGTGCCTACAAATAAAGAACAAAAGGCAAATGCTCAGCCTGAAGAGCATCAAAACAAATGGGGGAGTCCTGGAAACAATGAACGAATGTGGATGTGCATGACAGGTGCTCAGGGCAGAATAGGCTTCTTAGTGTTGGCTGGCTGGTTTGTGGATAGAATAGGGAGTTGTAGGAAGGGATTCAAACGTGTATAATGAGTATTTTTATGGGTACTTACAGGCAGTGCCCCCCGAGCCTGAAAGATAATACGGGTGCAATCACAAAGATACTTGTTTGTAAATGCAGACCAACATTACAAAGGTAAAACACCACATCTGAATATGAAAGAGGGCTGGGGAAGGTTGGTATAGGGTTGGGATCTGAAGTGGTTTGAAACTGAAGGCAGACAGGATATTTGGGGATGAGCTTAAGGAAAATACAGTGGGACTCAGGATGAGGAAAGGGCAGAAGAATCCATTTTTCCTCACTGATCAGCTAAGCAAGTGACCCTCAAATTAACTGTTATTGTGGGGTACTTCAAATAACTACTCCAACAGGACACAGCTTCCTAGCACCAGGGAAAGATCTAATTTTGGTGTTCTTTGCACTGCCATTCCCTAGTTGTCTGGGGCTGCCATCCACCCCAACTGGCTTAGAATGAAAAGGACATAAAGGAAAACAGTAGTAGAAAGCATGTACTTACCCAGCATACACAAAGGCTTCCTGGCAAACTTCAGTCTCCCCCTCCATCCTTTGTAGCGACAGCAACACCCGGCAGCCCAGATTCTTAAGGCAAACTCTGCTCCAAAGATGAAAATGGCAAAAGTTTCCTGTATCAAAGACACAAGCTGCACTTAGCAGTAATTCTGGACATGATATAGCTGAAGAAAACTGGTGAGATGCTAGTGTTGGGGGGGGTGTGCGAGAGACAGAGAGGAAATATGTGGGGAAAAGAATATGTACTGATGAAAGAGGCAAGGCATAGTGGGACATAGCTCTGTAGCCTGGTCGGTACTCTGCAGAAAGAATATGCCCTTCTGTAAATGCAAAGCATTTACCCTGCCTTAATGGAAGGGCAATTACTTCACAAAAAGACCTTCTTTTTTGCACAACATGAGAACACATATGTGAGTGGTGACTGCAAAGTCCCCAGTGCACTGCATACCCACGTCCAGGGTTACCCACCAGCAGCTTTTCATGCAGCCATATTTATAGAGATAGGGACAGCATACACTGTATTCATATGGTCATAAATTTAAGGCAATGATAAAGGCATATATAAGACAAATTTAAGGTATATACGATTCCTTTCAATTTCTGGTGCATGGAAGAACGGGATTTTCCACCTTGTTCAAGAACTCTTCTAAGCATGGAGAGGGAAAGGGGAGAAGAGTGCTTCTCTGGAGTGCTCAGCAGAGATGGGCCAAGGGCAGCATGGGGCACACAGTTACTTTTCCTCTCTTTTCCTCTCTGTGAATACCTGGCAAGGAGGAAAAGGGGATTTTTCCTGATGCTCATACCCACAGCTGCTTGGCACTTTTGAAAACTGCCGAGAGCTACATAAAAGTAAGCACAGGAGAAGGAAAAATAACCTCAGGCCTTTTCAAAGGTGAAAAGATGGGTCTAAGCAGGGTAACAGAGACCAAAAGTGAATTTCACATTCCCTAGGGGATGAGGGTGTTTTCACATAGGTGCTTTTTGAGATGGAACATGCAAGGGGAATTCACCTTTCATTCCTTAGTTCTTGCTCGGATCTACATGTCTCTGGGGGTACAAGGGGAAATGGAAATCAAGATCCTGGAACTACACTTGCTGTGCAGTTTCCCTAGGGATACTTTTCTACAAGGCCAGGTTAAGTGAGGCATTATGCTCTCTATTTGATGATGTTGTACGGGAGCAGAGGAAGTTTTTTGTTAGGCTCGCTTTCATAACATGATTAACACATCGTGTCTATACTTCGTGAGTTTTTTTCTTCTTCTGACAAATGGGATGCCTGCAGAAATACAGTCTTGAGCATGAACTTCAGCACTTTAAAACAAGCATGCTGGAAACACACAGAGAAATGAATATGTTTGCTGCAAATACATTTTCTGTCATGGACAGTCAGCAGAGGCACTTCCTGCAACAATTTCAGTCATGTTGCTATTGGGCACAAGCATGAGTCCAATTCTGATGACTTTCCTTGAAAGAATTGGACTTGCTTGGTAGAATATTATAGAATGAATTGAAATTGTTGAAAGATCAAAAAAAAAGTGAGTTTTCAAATGTGCTCTGGCATAGTCAGTAGGAAATTTACTGATACTTTGATGGGAGAATTGTTAGGCAAACGCTGAAAAGCCATTATTTAAAAGTCTCAGTATTTTTCCTCTCTCCACACTTCCTTTTTTACTCAGTCAATGTTGACAATGGACCAGGAACTATTCAATATATAAGTGTACAGTCATTGCCCCAGGACCAGCAGAAGAAATCTTATTGCATGCAGAGCTGGGAGTAAGTTTCCATCACTGCTGATGGGGCTGATTTCAATTCAAGGACATTACCAGGGTGATGCAATGCCTACACTTACTTACCAGCAAGAGGAGCCAGTCTCCCGAAACAGTTTCATACTCCTTGAAAGTTGTCAAGACAGCTAAGATCAAACACCCCAAGACAATCAGAAACCTGGAATGAAATAAAAGGGAAAACCACAGCATTGTTACCTCTTTCTGTATTGGCATTAGAGATATTGTCTGTAAGATACTGGGTAGAGACCTTCAGGGGATGGCTACTTCCTATTGGTGACCAGTCAGGTGGGCATTCATGAAGATTGAGGGTTCTCAATCTGGACAGGTTGGGACTGGTAGTCAGGAAATCATGACAAGATCCTAAATCAGAATGGTGCCAATACTGAAATGGGTTGAGTAACTTGTTTGCATTCTTAAGGAAGGAAGTGGGTAATACTGCATTTTAGGAAGGGATATATATATATA